GCAGTACTCACAGCGTTGTCCTTCAGAATCCCGGTTGGGGGAGGGTGTAAAGAGGTCATGACTAGCTACGGACGAGATTTATCACTGAAATAGCGCGAGAGTTTGGACTGGACATTTTGAAACCAGCCAGCGATTTGGGGCTTTAGTCCCCCCCCCCCCCCCCCTAGCTTTGGGGCGATAGTCCCTCTTGATGACAGAAAATCACAGGAGGTTGGTGGTAACTTAATTGGGGAGAACAGGCTCGTGGTAATGGCTGGAGCGGAATACACAGTGCTGTTGGAGAGACGCATCGCTGCAGCGCTCCACCAACATTCCAACTTAAATCATATAGCAGAAATAGCCTATGGTATAAAACAATATGTATGACAATGTAATGAGATGGACACTTTTTACATCATGCACGTTTCTCCGATCAAATTTCCTAACCTAAATGGCGCCTAATCAAATAAAAAATACACTGACATGTTAACACACCTAGCTTCGATGCAACCAAGATAGTTTTTACATTGTGCTGGACTCAAAAAACTCTTGGTTGCATCGAAGCTAACAAACACCATATCATAAAAACAAGACAGGTCAAAGTAAAATGGACAATATAATAATATAATAATAATGGAATGGACATTCAGGCTACTCACAACTGCTGTCCAGGAGTTTCACCACATGTGCTAAATTTGTTATGATCAGTGGTTTCAAGTTTGTATCCGTCAATTTTTTACGAGCTGATCATAGCGAAAAAGAAAACACTTCTGCATTTCCTACTGTAGGTTAAACACATTGCAAATAGAGTACCACATTATGAATCATAATACCCATAAAACCTAGTGGTCAAACAAGGAAATGGTTCCAATCATTTTTCCACCATTCATTTTTCCAATAGGGGATTTTAGAAACACTTACAATAAAGGCTGTGTTTTGTTTAGGCTTACCCTGGCATGACGTTTTGATAATCGTGTCAATCTCTCTAGGACAAGGTGACTTATCAATATATTCGCCTGTATTTACCCCCCCCCAAAAAAAATTAATAAAAAAATAAAAATAAAAAATAAATAAATGAAATGCAAATGTGCTATAATAAAGAACTACAAATGCCATGATGATCTGGACGAGACAGTCGAATTGAGGCAAAGGTAAGAATCTCTGGATGAACTAATGTTAGCTAAATGTAGTAATTTTTTACATTTACATTTTAGTCATTTAGCAGACGCTCTCATCTAGAGCGACTTACATTAGTGAGTGCATACCTTTTAATACTTTTTTCGTACTAGTCCCCCGTGGGAATCGAAACCACAACGCTGGTGCTGCAAGCGTCATGCTCTACCAACTGAGCTACACGGAACTGAATAAATTTGTTTACATTTCTTTAAATTGACAATTCTGTTAACTGTCTTGTGCAAGTTTTAAATTGACACAATACCTGTTAGCAAAGGTGTCAGCTAGCGATGACGTGCAGGAGCTTGCAGGGATTTGTAGTCTTGCATGATGTCTACTTTGATCCTAATTAGCATTTTCGAATCTGAGAGTAAATAGGGCCGAATATATTGATAAAAGTCACATTGTCCGAGAGAGATTTACATGATTATCAAAACATTATGCCAGGGTAAGCCTACACGAAACACTGTCCTTATTTTAAGTGTTTCTAAAATTCCATATTTTTTATGGTGGAAAAACAATTGGAACCATTTCCCTGTTTGACCGCTAGGTTTTATGGGTATTATGACACCTCCATTGTGGGGCTCTATAGGCTCAGGATACCCACATTTATCAGAAGTTCTGATATTCAGAGCTTAAATTGCCAAATTTGATTAGTCACATGAATCAGGACTAATAAAGACAATGCAACTGCCTGTTTTACAAACTGTAGGCCTACCATATGGATGGGCATTCATAAAATTCCATTGTGGGCTGACACTGTAGGCTACACCCGAGTAAGAAAGGGCCGACTTCTTTTGGATGTCTTTATCTGGTGCGGTCCGGACCGGCCTTGAACCAATCATAGACGTCTATGTTTGGTTCAGATTTGGTGCGGTCAGACGAAGTAGATTTTTGGTCTGTTGCAGACCAAATCTGAACCAATTATTGACGTCTAGACGTGTGGTTCAGATTTGGTCCGGTCTGGACCAGCCTTGATTTGGCCCAAACATAGACGTCAATGTTTGGTTCCGATTTGGTCAAGTCTGAACTGGCCTTGATTTGGTCCAAAAGTAGACGTCTATAAATGACGCCTTTTCAACTTTCATTCAGAACTAAAAATGAATCGGATTTCAACATCTGGAAAATACCTATTTTCACCTTTCATTCAGAACATAAAATGAACCTAACTTTAACGTCTGGAAAATACTTATTTTAGATGTCTTTTCAACGTCATTTTGCTTACTGGGACTATTCTAGATTTGCTGGGTATAGATCGGTTAGCTGACAACAGTAAGGAAAACGATGTGCGCGCAGAAGTCAGCCTGTTGTTGTGATTCTGGATGGTCAGATTGCTAGCACGAATGACCAGAAACTGCCAAATTGGGAGAATCATAAGTGGCTAATTTCAGCTTGTTATTGATTCCATGTCTTGTTTTGACTGATTTCATGTCAATGCTAATATGGCTAAAATTCGCTAGCTAACAACTGTAACAATGCATTTGAGAGACAAGTGCTCATTGTGCAAATCTATTTACGTTTTCAATAAACATTGGAGACGAAATATAGTTTAGATGTTGTCAATAATCTAAGCCAACTCTGTCTGTTTTGCCCATAGTTGCGTATGCCTCGGTTTTGTTGCTAAACAACCAGCCTGTCTAGGAGGGCACAATTTCTTTGGCCAGCCTAGGATAGGGCGGCAGAAGGACTAGGACTGGGCCTGAGCACACGCATGCAACAGTACACCCATCAGGGCTTTCATCGAAAATAAACAATCGTTCATTTTATTAACTGAAAATGTACAACTACTTGGTGTAAAGCTAACGGTTAAAGACGACTCACTCATCCTCTGGCTCCAACTCTCGCGGTAGTTCAATTGTAAATCTCGCCTGTCGCTGTATTCCATCTAGTCACAACCTTGTAAAGCCCGGCCTCCCCCTCCCCAGATGGTCAGGGATCATCCCAGATAAAGATACATCGCATTTACGAACCATGCCAAACTAGGTGAAAGCGCAATGATGCAATTGCCAAGGCAAGACATTCGATTGTGTAACTAAATAATACTAGTAGTTCAAATAGTGTTGATGGTGTTCACTGTAGTATAATTTATAGGTTCATAGATGAAAAAAGTGGCATAACTTATTTTGTGTGTAGGCCTAATAGCTTGAGCGTGCCATTACCCACAGCCCTATGGGTTTTATGGCCTTGGAAATTCCCTGCTGTCTCAATGTGTCAACCTCTGCTACATGGCGAATTTCCCATGGGGCTGCAGCAGCATAGTCTTTACAGTAGTAAGGTAGTGCACCATGTATGCCTCTTGCCTAAGATGGCTGCCTGGCCCATCCAATGCCAGCTCATGCATGAATGGCGAAGGTGCATAAAGATGGCGGCCCCCATGTACTTACCACAAATGCCTTGTTTGCCATATTGTACATCGCTCTCCGTAATTTATTTTAATTTTATCTGCATTATCCAAATTCTAGCTCCAAGACGGCAGCAATTTGAAAAAACGAAAAAGTAGATTGTGCTGATTTACTGGCACATTGAACCATGTCACGCGCCATAGTTTAAGAACTCTGTGGGAAGTGATAAAAACAATGATGTCATATCCAATGTTCCCTCTATTTTCTTCCGGCACTGAGAAAATGTCAGATCTGCTGAGCACAAACTTGAAGGTTGTAAAAAGTTACAGTTTTAACAGTGGCCAAGTAGGCTACTGTGGCTATTTGATCATGATGTAAGTCTACCAGAGTGGCCTACCATCAAAAACAATGGAGAAAAATGCATTCCATAACATTTTAACATGGAAATAGCTGTTCTATCGTTCAGCCTACAGTAGCTGCAAATGTGTGTTTTTCAATGTAGGCCTACATTCCCAAAAAATATGTAATGGAATGAAGAGTACCGTAACAGTTTTCCATGGGTTGGGTTTATTTTAATCCTGCCCACAGCTGGCAGAACCCAAGTAATCATCAATTCGGAGCACAGATCGCAATGCCAATGGTCAATTTGGTTGACATTCGATATCCCTATGGGGCTAGTTAGGGACCATCAGTAAATTATTTTAAAAGGTCAATAGCTCCAAATGTCAATGACTTAACCTTAAACCAACTATAAATTGTAGAAATTCATTTACAAATATTGAAAGCATTCGATGAGACAACTAAAAGATGTGCAACATGAAAATATTGTCCCATGTACATTGTGTAATTTATTGACGGCCCCTAACTATCCCCAGCGATAGGCTATCCAAAGTAAAACCAACTTTGCCATGGTGGCACACCAGCCGGCTGAAGCTAATTGGCTGAATAATTTGGCTAACTCTTTCCACCTGCGAACACACAGGAGACACCCACATCAAACCACACTCACGTTTGAATTCAGTCATGGCCAGTAGCGTTTCTTAATGAACCAAATCTAACACAAGGCCAAATCAGGAAGTGCAGTCGCCCTTTAATTGAAACTGAAGGCCTATGAGTTTCCTGGAACAGGATAAGTCACCGTTCTTAGGAATTGAATTTCAACACAGCGAGTTGGCATATTTCTCCATAAAGGAAGTTGCTCATGTAATCTATGTTGGCTACATTTACCCAGGCAGCCCAATTCTGATCTTTTTTTCACTCTGTTTTTTTTGACCAATCAGATAAGCTCTGAAAAATATATTTTCACATCAGAGCTGATCTGAGCTGATCTGATTGGTCAAAATACCAATTAGTGAAAAAAAGATCAGAATTGGGCTGCCTGTATAAACACAGCCACAGTGACTCAAACTACAGTCCAAAGTCTCTATGGGTCACTTTACCTTGAGTGATCATGACTGCCACCTATTGGAAAGAGTTTGCTCATCATTAAATATTTATCTGTTTTCACAGAAACCATGTCTAAGGGAACAGCAGTCGGCATTGATCTCGGGACCACCTACTCCTGCGTGGGTGTGTTCCAGCATGGCAAGGTTGAAATCATTGCCAACGACCAGGGTAACAGGACCACTCCAAGCTACGTTGCCTTCACTGACTCTGAGAGGCTCATCGGTGATGCTGCCAAGAATCAGGTTGCCATGAACCCCTGCAACACAGTGTTCGGTAAGTTTATGTATTGCAAAGGTGATTATTGGTAGATGTCAATAAAGTTTGTAAAGGTGTGATGCAGTTTATTCCTGTCATTTGTAGTTTCCACCAGAAGTTTTATAACCAAAGATGGTTCTAGTATCTTCCTTGGATGTCAGAGTGAGAAACCAAAGGTCAACTGCTATGATCGGAGTATGTCTATAATGCAATCGTTTTAACATACTTTTTACTTGCGTATTCCAGATGCTAAGCGTTTGATTGGCAGAAGGTTTGAGGACACCGTGGTTCAGTCCGACATGAAGCACTGGCCCTTCAACGTCATCAGCGACAGCGGACGCCCCAAAGTGGAGGTCGAATACAAAGGCGAGACCAAGAGCTTCTACCCTGAGGAAATCTCCTCCATGGTATTGGTCAAGATGAAGGAGATTGCAGAGGCCTACCTCGGGAAGGTGAGTTTGAAATGCATTGCAGTCTATTTCAGAGTTGTATTGACAGTAAGTCTATTCATTCCCAATTTGTTTATTTTTTTACCCTCATTTTTGCAGACTGTATCAAACGCTGTTGTAACAGTACCAGCTTACTTTAACGACTCTCAGCGCCAAGCAACCAAAGACGCTGGAACAATCTCTGGTCTGAATGTTCTGCGAATCATCAATGAGCCAACCGCTGCCGCTATTGCTTATGGCTTGGACAAGAAGGTGAGACCCATATATTTTAGAGGTCAGGAAGGTCTAGTTATGGTTTATTGAAATAATAATTTGATTTGGACAAACTAGATTTAATTCGCTATGATGAAGTTTACTCCTGCCATTTGTAGTTTCCACCAGAGGTTGAAAAACCAAAGGATGCCCAACAACCTTCCCTGGAATACATAGCCATGTGTCATAGGGTTTCTAGTTCCTTTTTTTTATAAGTGCAAATACTGAAGATTCTCTTCTGTTTCAGGTTGGTGCTGAACGGAACGTCCTTATCTTTGATCTGGGTGGCGGCACCTTTGACGTGTCCATTCTGACCATCGAGGATGGCATCTTTGAGGTCAAGTCCACTGCTGGAGACACCCATCTGGGTGGAGAAGACTTTGACAACCGCATGGTCAACCACTTCATTGCAGAGTTCAAAAGGAAGTACAAGAAAGATATCAGTGACAACAAGAGGGCTGTTCGCCGTCTCCGCACCGCCTGTGAGAGGGCAAAGCGCACCCTGTCCTCCAGCACCCAGGCCAGCATCGAGATTGACTCTCTGTACGAGGGAATCGACTTCTACACCTCCATCACCAGAGCTCGCTTTGAGGAACTCAATGCAGACCTTTTCCGTGGCACCCTGGACCCAGTGGAGAAATCCCTCCGCGACGCCAAGATGGACAAGGCCCAGGTCCACGACATCGTCCTGGTCGGAGGCTCCACTCGTATCCCCAAGATCCAGAAACTGCTCCAAGATTTCTTCAACGGCAAAGAGCTCAACAAGAGCATCAACCCCGACGAGGCTGTGGCCTATGGCGCAGGTGGGTCACTGATCTTGTGTTCACTCTGTGGTCATTGGGCTGCTTTAACAAGCCCTAACCAAATAGTTTAGCTGTGATTAAGTTTATTCCTGCCATTCGTAGTTTCCAGCAGGTCAAAATACCAAAGATGGCCCAACACCTTCCTTTTTTAATGTCTGAGCAACAATGTTACTGTGGCTCTACAGTGATGTTTTTACATGAGTCTAACCTCTCCATTCTCATTTGCAGCTGTCCAGGCAGCCATCCTCTCAGGTGACAAGTCTGAGAATGTCCAGGACCTGCTTCTGCTGGACGTCACCCCCCTCTCCCTGGGTATTGAGACCGCTGGAGGTGTCATGACCGTCCTGATCAAACGGAACACCACCATCCCAACCAAGCAGACCCAGACCTTCACCACCTACTCAGACAACCAGCCTGGTGTGCTCATTCAGGTAAAAAAGACCCTGCATAACATTTCAATTTCAGGGCAGTGTTTCCTCATTCCTTTGGCCACTCGCTGTGATGAAGTTTACTCTTGCCATTCGTAGTTTCCACCAGAGGTTGAAAGACAAAAGATGTCCCTATACCTTCCTTGGCTGTCTGAGTGACTATTTAGTGAAATGTACTTCTCATTTGAAGACCATGTATGTTTTGCTAATATAGACTGTATCCCCCAGGTGTACGAGGGTGAGAGGGCTATGACCAAGGACAACAACCTGTTGGGAAAGTTTGAGCTGACTGGAATCCCCCCTGCACCTCGCGGTGTTCCTCAGATTGAGGTCACCTTCGACATTGACGCAAACGGCATCCTCAATGTCTCTGCCGTTGATAAGAGCACTGGCAAGGAGAACAAGATCACCATCACCAACGACAAAGGTAGACAGAATAAAATGTGACCAAAGTGAAATTGTATTACAATATGCCTACTAGGATAGTGAGCGTATCCTTAACTCAACAATGTTTTTTTTGTCTGACCAGGTCGTCTGAGCAAGGAGGACATTGAGCGCATGGTCCAGGAGGCTGAGAAGTACAAGTGTGAGGATGATGTGCAGCGTGACAAGGTTTCCTCCAAGAACTCACTGGAGTCTTACTCTTTCAACATGAAATCCACCGTGGAGGATGAGAAACTACAGGGCAAGATCAGTGACGAGGACAAGACCAAGATTCTGGACAAGTGCAATGAGATCATTGCCTGGCTGGATAAGAACCAGGTACAGTATATTGATGTGCCCATTAATTTAAACCAAGTTATTACCCATAACGTGTCAAGAAGGGAAATAAATCAATCAATCTTAACCTGTATATTTTTGTTTCACAGACTGCAGAGAAGGAAGAGTATGAGCATCAGCAACAGGAGCTGGAGAAGGTTTGCAACCCCATCATCACCAAGCTGTACCAGAGTGCTGGTGGTATGCCAGGCGGTATGCCTGGTGGAATGCCTGGAGGCTTCTCAGGCGCTGGTGGTGCTGCTCCTGGAGGTGGTGGATCCTCAGGCCCCACCATCGAGGAAGTCGATTAAACCCAATGTCCCATCTCACCACTCTGTAAACACAAAGCCCATAACCCCAGAGGCCCAATCTGTAAAGCCAAGGCTGGTCATTGGCTGAGTAATTTAAACTGATAAAAGCTGCTATGTATGTTTTGAATACTTGAAGATGTACACTGTCAAAGACAGTGGGATTTTAAGGAAGAAGAGTTTGCCTGTCTATACATTTTGAGTCCTGGAGAATAAATTGTTATTTATGTCACTAGCAACGTTTCCATCCACAGTTTTTATGGAGTAAAGTCATAACGTCCCAAAAAAAATCAAGACAGCTGTGATGGAAATGGGTAGTTTCGGTACAATTTTATAAATGCCGACAGATAATTTGTTTGTTCGACATGGTGGGATCTTTTTGTGTCTGTAAAATTAATTATGCGAGAAATGGTGGTGGAAATGCCTTTATGAGCAAATATTGATTTAATAAGGATCTAAGTAAACTTGGAGTCACATGATGATATGGGTGTGGTCCTCCCACTACGACTCGAAACCATGCAGTTTATGAGGCTACAAATGAAATAACTTATGAACTTCACAGGGTGGTGAAAGTGCACAGTGATCTTGATGCTCGTTTCCAATAAATATCGAGGGTCTTATTCTGGTGACGATCATCGATGCTTGACTGACGTTTGACAAATAAAAGTATTCTCACTCTTATCCATAATAATCTAATGTAGACTAGCCTACTAGCACAGCCTACCCACACTGTATCTGCCAGCTGTTGGCTAGAGCGCACTTCCAAGACCAGAGTAGGCACATTAGCTATTCCACACAACAGTTTGTGACAAAACTATCAGTAGAGTTGAAAATGCGAAGGAAACACATTGAACTTTAAATTCTTATTCGGTATATTAAAACTTTAGCAGAAAAGTACATTTTGTGTGCATTAAGTCATCACGCACTGATTTTTATCCGGAAACGCACCACTGGTGGGAAAATGCGCATATTTTCTTTATGCAGATTTTAGAATATTGGCATGAAAATCTCTCACCAATTGGATGGAAACCTAGCTATTTGCCTAGACAGTTTGAGTGTTTTTCCTTCCTAATTCAATGAATGGAAATTAAGTAGGCCTACCTTTTACAAAGATGGAGAAGGACAGTTATTTGCTCATTTTTGTGGGGGAATTATCTAAATAAAAGGGTGTACATCACAGGAGGTTGGTGGCACCTTAATTGGGGAGAACGGGCTCATGGTAATGGCTGGAGTGGAGTTAGTGGAATGGTATCAAATACAAACACATGGTTTCCATGTGTTTGATGCCATTCCATTCACTCCATTCCAGCCATTATTATGAGCCGTCCTCCCCTCAGCAGCCTCCACTGGTGTACATCAAAAGTCAAATTTATGCTAAGCACACTCTTACTAGTGATTTGATGATGGAATCTGGTGACGCATCTAAGTGGTAGATCATGGCTAACAATCAAATGACCCACTGACAACAATTTGAGGCCAAATTCTCACAAAATAACTGCTTTGTTTAGTTTACCAAATGAACAATTTCCATTAAATTAGCTAATAAAGATGCAGTGAGTAGACCATCGGCTATATTCTTGTCTGAGGCCTGCCAGAAGTAAGTGGAGTGTTGGCATGGAGGTTTGGTACAGATATACATGTATGCCTAGGTAAAGAGCAGGGCCCAAGTTGTCTTTGGCAAAAACTGTACCATTTTCATTCACTTTGTTATGGTTATGACAAAAGCAGTATACAGTTGAACCTATAGCTAACTGCCAAAATAATGGAAACACTTGAGTTAAATGAGGGATACAAAGTATATTGAAAGCAGGTGCTTCCACACAGGCATGGTTCCTGAGTTAATTAAGCAATTGAGAACCCATCATGCTTAGGGTCACGTTTTGGCTATGCCCCCATAGGATGACAATGCCCCCATCCACAGGGCATGAGTGGTCACTGAATGGTTTGATGAGGATGAAAACTATGTAAACCATATGCCATGGCCATCTCTGTTACCAAATATCAACCCAATTATGGGAGATTCTTCAGTGGCGCCTGAGACAGCATTTTCCATCACCATCAACAAAACACAAAATTATGGATTTCTCATGGAAGAATGGTGTTGCATCCCTCCAATTGAGTTCCAGACACTTGTAGAATCTATGCCAAGGTGCATTGAAGCAGTTCTGGCTCATGGTGGCCCAACGCCTTATTAAGACACTTTATATTGGTGTTTCCTTTATTTTGGCAGTTACCTGTATATGCACACATATATTATTATTTTATTTTATTTATGAATAAGCAAATTTCACAACAGAACAGCACAGTGGTCACTTTAGGAATGGTGAGTGCAATCCAGAATCCTTGGGACGTCCCCTCAATGGGGTGACATCAGAGTTGGCGTCCCAAGAATTCCCTTTAGACTTACATGCTGACCACACCGCACGCGTCACGTGCGCAAGCGTTGCAAAATAAATGTACACATACATGTTATTCAATCATTGCACCAACACTGCTCGCGCGCGTCAACGAGCGTCTGCGTGGCCATGCGCTAAAATAGAACTTGGTTCTATTTGTGACGCTCAAAGTGCTGCAAGTCCTGCCTCTCCCATCTCCTCATTGGTTTTTAGGAGCATCTACCCATGTGGGCAATTGAAAGACACACTCCAGTCCAGTTGGTGGGGGATCCTGTCTGGTGTGGGGGGACAAAATCAGTTTGCGCGCGATGGCGGTCTGGGTAGCATGTTATGGAGGCCATTGCACTGACTGCATCAGTCCACTAGGGGTAGAATCACAGAGGATATAGCGAAAGACCCTCATATAAACTTCCTCCAATTCCTATAGAGAGAAATAGTAATGGCGTCTTTTTGTAGGCACTATCTATAGCATGGATCGTTGGACAAGGCATATGGGGAAATTAACGGCGTTTCTGTAGGGTTTTTGAATAAACGCTCAGAATAAGGTCTATGGTTAGCACAGGCTTAGGAGATCGTATACGTTTTGTTCTATGAGATAATCATCAGCTCATGTCACTTTTTGTGAATTTAAGAATTTATGTAATAACAAAAATCACACATGTTAACTGACTGATGAGATAATTGAGATAACAACAATTCAATGAGCTAATAATGATTCTCATAAAACAAAACGTATAAGATCTCCTAAACCTGTGTTAACCTCAGATTTTATTTTCAGTGTTTATCCCAAAACCCTATTATTTTCCCATAGGAATTGCTGAATGAACCAGCGGTAACTCAGTTCCAGTTATGACTACATGCTTGCGAGCTTCATTAACAGCAGAGAACTCTAAAGAAAAGAGATGCTAATCTAGGAAATTAGTTTAATTTCTTAAAGTACAGTGCATTCGGAATGTATTCAGACCCCATGACTTTTTCCACATTGTTACATTACAGCCTTATTCTAAAATGGATCAAATTGTTTTTTCCCCTCATCAATCTACACACAATACCCCATAATGACAAAGCAAAAACAGGTTTTTAGAAATGTTTGCAAATGTATTAAAAATAAAAAACGTGTCACATTTACATAAGTATTCAGACCCTTTACTCAGTTTTCATCAAGGATCTCTCTGTACTTCGCTCTGTTCATCTTTCCCTCGATCCTAACTAGTCTCCCAGTCCCTGCCACTGAAAAACATCCCCACAGCATGATGCTGCCACCATCATGCTTCACTGTAGGGATGGTGCCAGGTTTCCTCCAGCCATGACGCTTGGCATTCAGGCCAAAGAGTTCCATCTTGGTTTCATCAGACCAGAGAATCTTGTTTCTCATGGTCTGAGAGTCCTTTAGGTGCCTTTTGGCAAACTCCAAGCAGGCTGTCATGTGCCTTTTATTGAGGAGTGGCTTCCATCTGGCCACTCTACCATAAAGGCCTGATTGGTGGAGTGCTGCAGAGATGGTTGTCCTTCTGGAAGGTTCTCCCATCTCCAAAGAAGAACTCTGGAGCTCTGTCAGAGTGACCATCGGGTTCTTGGTCACCTCGCTGACCAAGGCCCTTCTCCCCCGATTGCTCAGTTTGGTTGGGCGGCCAGCTCTAGGAAGAGTCTTGTTGGTTCCAAACTTCTTCCATTTAAGAATGTTGGAGGCCACTGTGTTCTTTGGGACCTTCAATGCTGCATACATTCTTTGGTACCCTTCCCCAGATCTGTGCCTCGACACAATCCTGTCTCGGAGCTCTACGGACCATGGCTTGGTCTTTGCTCTGACATGCAATGTCAAGTGTGGGACCTTATTTAAACAGATGTGTGCCTTTCCAAATCATGTTAAATCAATTGAATTTACAACAGGTGGACTCCAATCAAGTTGGAGAAACATCTCGAGGATGATCAATGGAAACAGGATGCACCTGAGCTCAATTTTGAGTAAATCATTATTTTTATTTATTTTTAAATATATATATATATATATATATATATATATATATATATATATATATATACAGTGAGGGAAAAAAAGTATTTGATCCCCTGCTGATTTTGTACGTTTGCCCACTGACAAAAACATGATCAGTCACGTGTCTTTTATACAGGTAACAAACTGAGATTAGGAGCACTCCCTTTAAGAGTGTGCTCCTAATCTCAGCTCGTTACCTGTATAAAAGACACCTGGGAGCCAGAAATCTTTCTGATTGAGAGGGGGTCAAATACTTACTTCTCTCATTAAAATGCAAATCAATTTATAACATTTTTGACATGCGTCTTTCTGGATTTTTTTGTTGTTATTCTGTCTCTCACTGATCAAATAAACCTACCATTACAATTATAGACTGATCATTTCTCTATCAGTGGGCAAACGTACAAAATCAGCAGGGGATCAAATACTTTTTTCTCTCACTGTATATATATATATATATATATATATATATATATATATATATATATATATAGATATATATATATATACAGTTGAATTCTGAAGTTTACATACACCTTAGCCAAATACATTTAAACTCAGTTTTTCACAATTCCTGACATTTAATCCTAGTTAAAATTCCCTGTCTTAGGTCAGTTAGGATCACCACTTTATTTAAAGAATGTGAAA